TTAACAGACTATTAATAGTATATATTGTATGTATATTTAAATAAATTAATTAGAATCAAGTAAGTTAATGTTCTTTAAAAAGATAAGTATTATTTATTACATTAAATTTATGTGTCATAATTAAATCTTACCTATATATGTATATTTAAATAATATGTCTTAATAGTTTTAAATAAAATTATACTCACACTAATATCGAAATCTTATATTGAACGTGCACCAACTCACACTAGTATAGTAATCTTATATTAATACGTGCACCAACAAATAATATCTCACCACATGGTGAGTTTTTGCTCAGACTACTGCAAAAGCTTCAGTGGCACTCTTAAAGCTTTTAACATTTCTCCATTTCTATTGAAATAATATGAAAATAGCTTTTAACAGTGGAAGCAACAACCATTAAGAGCTTCTACAGTAAAAGCTTTTATGATAATGTTAAGAATAACAGTAAACGGGAATGTAAATGAAAACGGTAATGTAGGTGAAAATATATTCTGATTTCATAATTTAACTAGCCGTACATTTAGTTAGCCGTACAGAGAAGAAAAGCTTGTTCGCTAAATAAATTGTATTTTTATGGTTTGTTATTACATACATAAGAAAAATATATAATTTACTTTATTAATTGACATAGTGCTTTATAGTAAGTATTTATGTTTTGTGAACAGATAAAAATGATCAAACTCCATCAGAGCCGCTGAAAAATATTGTGCTGTCGGAAGTTGTTCAATTGCTTATTTACTTATTTATTTTTTCATCACCCTTCCTCACAAACTTACCTATAATATATTTATTCTTATCATAAACAAAGTATTCATAATTATCATAATCATTAGTATAAATAGCATAATCTGCATTTCAACATTTTCACGGTCAACATATTCGTTATAATAATAATAAAATTCAATTTGATTATTATATAAATATTTATTTTTGAAAAAATGCAGAGCTGTGCTGCGTGGAATGCAACTGTTTCGTAGCAGGTAAGAAATGCGACTGATCTGGCACTGCAGAGGCTCCGCATTTTATAGCCAACAGAATCGCACTCATGTTCCACTACTCATAGAAAAATCTCTCTCTCTCAGTTTACAGCAATGTTAAGATGGAATGGAATGAGTGGAACATTATTTGATATCTTATCATTCCCAGGGCGATAAAAGCGATGCCTCGCAACGCCACGGCAATTGTGTGAAGATATATGTTTGCTTTAAGATAGTGCAAATGATCTTAAGAATCTAGCGGTTATCTAGCGACCACTAACTCTATGCACTTTGTATCTAAATTGTTTAGTGTATGTGTTTTTATTCAAATAGAAAAAAATTTGATAATAAATTCATATTCATATGTGCCCTACATATATCTATGATTCAGAGAGGGAATACGCATTAGAAATATTGCAGAGTCATTGTAGCTTTGCAGCATCATTGATGATATTGAAGAATTCACAGTGAGCAACAAACCTAGACGATTTCTATACAGAAGCTAGCGGACTTTCAATACTCTTGTTGCAGATTATACTATACTATATAGAAATGTGAATAAAATAAAAGATTATAATTACATATTTAACTTATTTAAATTATAATAAAATTATAAATATATATGTATAGATATACATATATACATTTTTTTAATAAAAACAAAAAAAGGTTTTTGCATAGGATAAAATTAATTTAATGCCAAAGAAATATATATATTTTATTTATTGCTTGTTTATCATAAATATATAAGCTATAATTTAAAGTAACTGATCAGTCTCAGCCATATCAATAAATAAAATAAAATATTATATGGTTCACATTGAAAACCGCTGAATCTGTTAAATCAAACAACAGTGGAATGAGTCACTGTAAGCGGATAATAAGCACTGTCATTTAGCAAAACAAATGATAATAGGTCTGTCTGCGCTTATCAATGCCTATAAGTAGAGTCGAGAGTAGATTTGAGTTAGTTAGTCTTTGGTCTGTGGCAGCATCAGCTGCTCTAGTTACAGTTCTAGTTCCATTCACAACATGGGATTCGTGCTAATTGTCTTCTCGTTGGTGCTCACGTGGCTGTTCGGCTACCTGAGGCATTGCTACACCTACTGGGAGCAGCGTGGAGTGCCACAGGTGCGCACCCACTTCTTCTTTGGCAACTTCTTCAAGCTAAAGTCCATACACCACAGCGAGCTACTGCAGGAGACCTACGATGCCTTCAAGGGCAAATCCAAGGTGGCCGGCACGTATGTCTACACACGTCCGCTTGCAGTGGTCACGGATCTGGATCTGGCGAAGACCATACTCATCAAGGACTTCAACAAGTTCGTGGACCGCATGGATGCGCCATTCAACTTGGAAAAGAATCCGCTGGCAGGTCATCTATTCAATCTGCACGGCGAGCAGTGGCGAGCGCTGCGAACGAAGCTCTCGCCCACCTTTACGAGCGGAAAGATCAAGTACATGTTCAGCACGATCACGAGCGTCGCCCAGCAGCTGGACGAGACCTGCCGGCAGGAGGTGGCCGAGAGCGCGAGCAGGGGCCACATCTTGGAGCTGCACGATCTGCTGGGTCGCTACACAGTCGATGTCATTGGCAACTGCGCCTTCGGCATCGAGTGCAACAGCCTCAAGAATCCGAAGGCCGAGTTCAGGGAGGTGGCACGCCAACTCTTCACTGGCCACAATCGCAATGTGCGCTGGAGTCTCTTCAAGCGGACCTATGCGAGATTTCTGGAAAAAATGCCGATCAGACCTCGACATCCGCACGAGGACTTCGTCAGCTTCTTTCTGCGTCTGGTGCGCGACACAGTCGAGGTGCGAGAGCGTGAGCATATCAAGCGAAACGACTTCATGGATCTGCTACTCGGTCTGCGCAAGACGGACGAGAAGAACGGCCTGACCGTGGATCAGCTGGCCGCCCAGGTGTTCGTCTTCTTTGTCGCCGGCTTCGAGACGAGCTCCAGCAACATGAGCTATGCCCTCTACGAGCTGGCCAAAAACCCCAACATCCAATCCCAACTGAGAGCCGAAATCCAAAGCGTACTCCAAAAACACGGCAAACTCACCTACGAAGCTATGATGGAGATGTCATACTTGGACCATGTTGTCAACGGTGAGTGCTTAGACTAAAGTCGAGTCCATATCAAGTTGCCTATCTGGCCATCAAATTCAAATATGATACGCTGCGTCTGCTGTGACATTTCACACAATTTGCTGTGCTGGCAGCTTGATTCGCATGAAAACAGTTGGAGTGAGTGAAAGCACTTGGAATAATGTCGATTCAGAGTAAACAAAATAAATGAAGACCAACAACAGGTTTCTCATGCATTCAGCAAGGCAATAAGAAAAGTGAATTATGATAGAGAATGTTTAAAAGAATATCACTTTAAGCAGACTTTGATCTCTAGAGATTATGGGACGAAACTAGATATTGACTAAAGATAAACTATCAAA